GTTGGGCACCAGACTAATGTCACATTTTTCAAATCCGAATATTCGCTAATGAGCAGGGATGTTGATCAAGAATGATGTCGTATACATCTTTTGTAATTCAATTGAACAAGCATAAAGAATGACCTCCTTTGTCAAATTATGATACAACGATTAGCTGTTTGCATAAGGATTTAGTTTTTATGTATAAAGAGCAAACATTGCTGTTCGCAAATTAGTTGAGTGCTCGATTCAAATTGAATCAAGAAGAATAGATCGCTGTCATCTTGATCATTCTGCTGTCGATCTTAAAAGCTTTAATAGACACTCTTTAAAACATCCCAGCTGTCCATTTCCATTGAACAAGATTTCTCAAGGACAAACACAATATGAAATAATCGAGAATCGATTCTTTTCCTCATCAAATAATTCTGTCGTCTTGAATTCTTTTTCTGTATGAGCCGTTTTTTAATATCTTCTTTTCAAAAAATTGATGCAGCAAAACATTAGTTGAATTTCGGAGTTTTGTGTGAAACGATGATCAGAAATAGATTTCACTGTATGATCTGTTATAACCGGAGAGTTATCAGCTAGATCATCGTTCAAATCTTGTTCGTGACTGTGAAGGCTGTGAATGTTAGTGTAGATCAAAAGAATGACTACATCCATGTCTCAACCACAGTCAGAAATCTTTAGAATTTTTGGCGAAGAAGCCATTGAGAAACATGCAATAGAATAATGTAAACATGATAAAATAATTAATATGTATATACGAATATAAAAAGACTTTTGTAGGAAAAACAATACATTTTAGTACCGATAAAGTGTGTCATGTGAAACACATTCTTCAACGATTTATTTGTACTTTTGATGAAAAAAGATGCATTCCAACGCATTTAAATAAATGCGTTTCAAACCTAGCGAACACGTGGGATTGGGCTAAAAAAAAGCTTTCAAACGCAAACATTTACAGTTTTTTTTAATGATTGAACTCATTATATTTACCTGCATGGTAAGTAGACTTTCAAGTGACATGAATGAGTCACGATTTATTCTGTCTGTTGCATAGTGTTGATGCGAAATGCCAAATCATTGTTGAGAACAATCTTCTCGATATTGTTGTTAGAAAAATGATAGTCTACAATAGCTTCAATATCGGACAAAAGTTCATTGTGAACCGCACAACCAAAGATAGTGCTTTACAGTTCAAACTTGACTCTGGATAACATCGTATTCGTATATGCTACTGAGTTTTTTACTTGTCAATTTGGAAATCTATCCAGGCAGACAAGAACTTATGAAAAAGTATTTAAACACCATAATTGTGATTTTCGTTTGAGCGTTTTCATATCTATTTAGAAGACACCAAAATTAGCCACTTTCATCATAAAATGTGTGTGAGGTCGCTGAGAAAGGCGGCTTTTCCAACTAGAAAACCAGGAAAAAAAAATTCCGCAGTGTTTTGAAATTTGTTCAGATAAATATTACTTTTTTATGCGTAATGTATGCCAAAAATATTGCGAGAAAACCTTTTTGGTGGGTTCTAGGTGAAGAAGTTGCTTTTTGAAGCGTTTTCACGCATCTTTCATAACGAAAGTAGCTTTTTTTGACGACTGCGAGGGTAGCTCATATTTCACTACTAAGATACTTATTACTTCAGAGGAATGACAATGAGTCATACAGGTGTTTTTTTTTCTTTTTCTATATTTCACAACGCGATTGCAAGAAAAAGAGAACATAACAAATGATACATCAATGTCTGCATTTTTTCTACTCAACCAATTTAATGTTGCAACATGAAACGATGTGTTGTTGATGTACGAACAAGTCGTTATTTACCAAATACAATCGTTTCGGCTAGTAATGACTTCGATACCAACTATTTCTCCTATGACCATTTGGCCAATTCCATCAATTGTAAACTCTTCAATTTCAACCCTTATCGTTCGTTCTTACGACAACTTTATCCATCGGATATCGACGAAGATAAACTGACAGACGACATGCTCGATGTTCTTCGTTCGTACACCGACAGTCGATCGAGCGAATGTTATATGAAAACGAACTTGAATCTACTCAGTGGCGACCTTGATCACATTGATTGGACCTATGTCAACAAACTGCGTTCATTAATTCGAGGTCTAAAGCAATCAAATATTCGTCAAGTTTATTATCGAGGATTGACATTGAGTGATACGGAAATCGTCTTCTATCAAGAGAAACGACATGAATGTATCTATACGAATTCGTTCTGGTCATTTACGACGGATCGATTATTGATCTATGCAGGGAATGCTGTGATGATCTTACGAACAGACATGAGCACTGAAAGAACGAAGAAGAATGTGGCTAATATTTGGAAATGGAGTGCGGTAGGCGAAGAGAAAGAAGCGCTTTTAGCTGTGGGAACGAAGTTGAAGATTATTTGTGTGCATCAATACGGATGTAAATGGGAGATCGAAGTCGAGCTGGTCGAAGATGATGACGAAGACAATAACAATGAAGAGAATCTTAATTCCTGAAATTCGAAATCGCGAAATTGTTATGTATCTGGTTTCTGAATCAATAGCAGAATTTTTATACAGCTATCATTTCTTGATGAGCATAGTACGTTCCCAAGCAAAAGGAATGAAGTAGTTCCATGAAAATAGTAGCAGAATCTAATGCTTTTATTTAAAAAGCTTTCAGCGTAATTCTTGCCAGATGGAAATGTAAAACACAATGGATTTATTCCACTCGTTAGTAAATTTTTTGCTGATTTTCATCAAACTAAAGATACATGCACCACGATCTTTGTTGCTTGAGAAGTTTGTTTACTCTGTCTGTGTTTTTAAGCTCGATGACATTATAGTCAGTTTTTCTGACTATATCTATTTATCACGATCTATGAGGCCAGTTTCATAGGCTTTACTTTTCAGACTATATATTTCAACAATAATTTCCAGTCATGTTTCATAAAATCAATCAACCATTCTATAACACTTTGGTTTCGCCTTGTCCAGATCTAGTGGCGACGTATAACGAATATACCCAAGATTCCTTGAGATCATGATAAGATTCTTTAACAAAATCGTCCGAAAACCCGAATACATCTTGAAAATATGTCGGCAAATGTTTCTCTTGAAGTGCAGTAGAGTTTAATATGACTGCTCTTAGAATCTCGGTCAGATCTTACTAGGAAAAGCAGTTTGTTGAAAAGGAAAATTCACAATGCTTAATAAGATTAAAGTAGCTCTGTGTGTATCGGATCTTCTTTGATCATGAATGACATTCGAGCATGGTAACCATATTTCTATGTACCTAAAGAAATATTGAATAGTCTAATACATGCATAACAAGCGTCTACGGTGCGAAAAGGATGTGGGTGTGGGTGTTGGTGCTATCTTCATCTACACCCACACCCACACCCTCAAGATGGTTTGTTGAGATCAATGCCAGTTAGAAATCGATTTCCTTCGAGTGATAACCACACGATGAAAGTTGTTTGAGATTGGACATTCGATGTAAGAGAGAGGCAAGATCCAATCATCATACGTGTGCATTGATGTCAATTGATAACAAATCAGAGACAAAATCTTCATATTCAAGAGAAAGATCTAAATGGAAAGCAAACAGTTCTGTGTATTATCCATCATTTAAGAACATCTACCATTTTGACTTTGGCTACTAATTCTGAGACGTTATCTCTATATGTTTGATTTCGATACGGAATATTTTCAGCAGTTGAGATGGACGACCATCGAGTAGACCCAATCAATCGGAAAAGTAGGAAACATTAACATTTAATTCGATTAGTATCGATAAAGTACATTGATTTGGATAGAGTCCACTGAGCAATATCGAATAAATAGATTTAAATATTAATCCAATCAAATTCGTACAATTAGGTAAGATCCGATCGCACACAACACTGTTCATATATGCAAGATACTCCTGACTCTCATTAAAAAAAGAATAATATAATGGCTGCTTAAGGAGCATCAAGACGATGTACCTAGGAGATGTTTGTCGATTTCTTTTTGTCCCAAATGGAGAAGTGTGAGTGAAGTCGGATTTGGATATTTGGCTGCAAAAACTACGCGTTCTATGTTCAATGATTCGCTTGAGTATCGAAGTTGCTGTTAAATCGATTATTTGTGCAGTAAAATGACAATCGCATGATACTGCATCCAATTGTTTGTTAATGTCCATTATCGGCCAGAACAAATCAGTCGGTTTAAAGTCTATTAAAAATGACTACGAATAAGTCATCTGGTAAATTGAATAGATGAACGTTATCAGTTTGAGACACTGCTCCTTGTATTGACAGCACAAATGCCTCTTTGACTTATTCTATCCGGACAAGTTGATACATCTATTATTTGAATACGCAACTGAGCAATTGTCCTCAAGCAATATTATAGTTAAAACTTCTGACAATACTATGAAGTCTTATAAACGAAATTTATAAATGTGTTGTAACTACGAGTTACATCAAAATTATTCGGAGGTACAAACATATCCGATATTTGTACTGTTTAAAGGCTACTTGTAGACTTCGAGCAAGAAAAGATATACGCTTACTTACTCAGGTGATTCGTTAAATGTCGAGGGTTAGAATGTTGATGGAAAAGATCACAAACATTGTTGTCTTGAATTAATGGAAGAGAATATTTCAATAATAAAAAATCGTGTTGAATGAGATTTGATCTTATTCATATAGAGTTCAGACACTTTCATAGATTCAAAGCAGAGATGAGCGAGCCAGCAAAAAAGTCGCACCGTCACCGCCCCGTCCCGCCCCGCTGATAAAGTTCCGCACCGCCACCGCCCCGCCTGTTCTACATTGAAACCGTCACCGCCCCGCCCCGCCCCGTCCCATCCAAAATATGTTTTCAAAAACTATTTTTCGACAAATTTTTTATTAAATTTTCATAATGACTATTTTATTTTATGAGATGAAAAGGCATACTTTACATGCATAAACATAATTTCGAAATAGAAAAAAAATAAACATACGAAAATGAAAAACAATTATAATACAATTACTCATTTTTTTTTACTGAACGTAAAAACATGGCGTTGTTGATTTGTTCAGGATTTAATCTAGTACGTCTTGAGTTAATCATCATTCCACTTCCACTAAATGTACGTTCCACATTAGCGGTACTAGCTGGAATGGAATAAATTGAACGTGCTAACTGAGATAAAATAGGATAAGTCAATCGATTTTGATACCAAAATGGTAATGGATTATCATCAATTGATTCTGTATCAATACGTTGTTCCAAATATTTGTGTAACTCATCGTCATATTCATTATCAAATTCATCACTAACGTTTCCAGTTTCAAAATCTTCTCCAAATCGTTTTGGTTTTTTCTTTACTGGTTCATTTAATGTTTCATTATTAACTGTTGAGGAATGTTTTTCTGAAATATCAGATGTTGATTTGTTTGTTTTCATCGATTTAATTTGTGCCATACGTTGTCGAATATATAAATGACATTCTCGCACTTCATATAAGGAACATTTCTTTAACAATCTATATCGAGGATGTAAAAGTGTAGCTGCTAAATGAATAGGTTCTAATTTAAACATAGAATAAAGTAAATGATGAATACGTAATCGAAAAAAATGCATTCCTGTATAAGCGAAAAAGAATATTGGTTTTTTTATAATGCATTTTACAAATAGTTACCTTCTTCTTCTTCAACATATTCATCTTCATTTTCACTTAAATCTTCACTTGATTGATCAATTTCATAATTTTTATTATATTCAATCAACGATGAATATGACTCTAATGCTTGACGAAGTGTTAAAATAACAATTGTAACTAAATGAAGAGAAGGTGCTTTTCCTTTTTGAATGATAACCAAGACTTGTTTGAATGGCTTTAAAAGATGAATAAGTTGAGAAATGATCATTTTATCCAATAAGAATGATTTTTTTTTCTCGATTAACACCTTCTTTACTTGTTTATATGATTGTTTTATTGATTCAAGAAGTGAAATTAATGATATCCATCGTACAATTGTTGATTGTACAATAGCTAAACCACCATGATCTTGAATTAATTTATTTAGTCCATTCTAGAAAAAGCAAATATATAAAAGTCGTATAAACAATACCAGTAATGTCGAACCCTCATACATGTATACTACATATTGGTTCACATACAAGGAAATGTTTTATCTTAATATCAATTTGGAACAGAAATAAAATGTCTTATTAGGACTGTTTTAGTAATAATCATCTCTGAACAATACTCTATCAAACAAAAGTACTTCTCTTGAAATGTCCAGTGCCACTCTTTTGTATAGACATCACGCAACTGTCCTTTATTGCATCACTATCTACCATCCTTTTTATTTGTTTTCAAGTTTAAGTTGTCTATAAACAAAACTTAGTAAAAACGACCTACATCATTTTTTATATATTACTATTTCAACAGATTACTTGTTTCTCACCTTCTTTATATATCTGACCACTAATTTACACGACACAATTGTTTTAAGAATATTTAGTGCACTTGGTGGAATTTCAGATAATTTAATCGTAGAATAATCAAGAATACACGATGATGTTGCACGTCGAACACTTTTATTATCACCAAGATGTTTATCATTTGTTTCACTACTTTCACGATCTTCATCTCCACTACAATCAGTATCATTTTCAGAATCGGACGAACATATTATTTCAAATATTTCAGGTGAATCAATTTTATTATTTTTACGTTTTTTTTTTGTTTGATAAAAACCGACTTTGACAATATTATTTAATCTGTGTGCAACACAGTTCGTTGTTGAATATGGTTTAAGTGCTTTCACGAAGTTTGCACCTCGGTCTGAAACGAAATTTACTTTTGTTAAATCTGTTATTCCAAAAGGTTCAAGAGCTTTTTTAATAGCCTAAAAACGAAGTGATAATGATGCATTTCAAAATAACAAAGAACTCACAGCAATAATACTTGGAGCTTTTTTATCATTTTCAGTAAATGGAGCACAACAAAGATCATAAGTAATAAATTGATATTTATCATTAGTAAAGCATACAGATATGCCTAAGTACGAAATTTGACGGTATGGGTCTGTCCATAAATCTGGACATACAGTTACAGCTTGATTTTCTAAGGGTTCGATTAATTCTTGTCGAACTTTAGCTCTACATTCATCTGCTAATCCAGCAATATGTGATGAAATACTAAACCTACTGTATAAAACATCATCCACACAAATATTTCCATATTTTGCACCTATAATAACACAAAGGAATGAATGATAGAAAATATTTGTATAAATAAAAAATACCAAGTGAAATACATTCTTGAACAAGAGATCGTAAACCACTATCATCGACGACTGAAAAAGGACGAATATTGGTGCATACCCATTCAGCCTGTAACTTCTTTATTTTATTTTTTTCACATTCTTTAAGTTTAACAGATTGAACAGTTTTTGAAGTATAAGAAAAAATATTTGATTGTTTCAAAGATTGTGAATGATTTTGAGAGTTTATTACTGAAGATGAAAATGATGAATCATTACATTTATGTCCGTTCATTAAAGTTGTACTGTTAGATTTAAACGAATATGTAGTAAAACAGGTTTGACATGAAACAAAACTATGAAATATCTTGATGACATCACCATCTTTATTAGTAGCAGCAGGAAATCCAAAACGTTTCCAGCACTTAGCTGTATGCTTTTTTGAAGCATCAGTAATTATTAAAGATTTTTTCTTAAGAAGCATATGAATTTTCTCACAAGTCATTTCAGTATCAAATAATGAATTATTAACAATATCAGGAACAATTACCAAAATATCTTCGGTATTATTTTCATTATCACTTGAACAAGACAAATACTTTGTTGTAGACATCCTATTGAGGAAGGAATATATATCAATAATTATGTACAAATAAAGTAAATTTTCATTTACTACGAACCTTTACTAAATACGATTATAAAACATAAATAAACTTTATTTTAATTCACGATGAAGATTTAATGAATATGATTTAATAAATATAAATAAGTAAAATTTTAAAACACCACAAATGTTTAATAAATATGATGATTTCAATACAAATAAATCAATTTTTAATTCGCTATAAATTTTCAATAAGTATGGTTATATAAATATAAATATATGAAATTTTGATTTATCACCAATATGTAATAAATGTGATTCTATAAATATAACTAATTTTAATTTTAATTCATCACGAACGTTTAATAAATATGACAATATACATGTAAACAAATCAAATTTTATTTTACGATGAACACTTAATGAATATGATTCAATAAATATAAATAAAATTTTAAAACACCACCAATGTTTGATAAATATAATAATTTCAATGTAAATAAATCAATTTTTAATTCATTATAAATCTTCAACAAGTATGATTCTATAAATATAAATATATACAATTTTGATCTATCACCAATATGTAATAAATGTGATTCTATAAATACAACTAAATTTAATTTTAACTCATCACGAATATTTAATGAATATGACAATATACTTGTAAATAAATCAAATTTTATTTTACGATGAACATTTAATGGATATGATTCTATAGATATAAATGAATAACGCTTTAATTCACCATAAACGTTTAATAAATACGATAATATAAATGCAAATAAATCAAACTTTAATTCACTATGAACATTGAATGAATATGATTCTACAAATAAAAATATATACAATTTTGATTTATCACAACCATTTAATGAATATTATTACACACATAAATAAGAATAATGAAAATTATTACAATGCAGATATATGCATTCTCATCTAAGTATTCGATTGAATAAATTTACCACCAACAGTTTTGCGTGAAAAAATTTTAAAAATTTTAAAAAGATGTCTCTAAAGGTCAGCGTATATTTAAAAAATCAAGGATATATACAGGCGGGGAAACCGCAAAATTTCGCCATGCACCGTCACCGCCCCGCCCCGCCCCGCCAAGTTTTAGCACCGCCCCGCCGGCGGGGCGGGGCGGGGCGGGACGGGGCGGTGTTACACCGCGACTCGCTCATCTCTGATTCAAAGTTACTTACAATGGAACCGTCTGAATTGTTAATCGAGTTGAGTGGGCTTGTTCGGGTCAAATTAACACTCTTACTGCTAAACTAACAAATTTAAAATATTACGTCCCCATAGCGAGCCTGGACTGAGATAATCGATTTTTAAGATATTCAGTTTTGGTATGTGAACATAATGTCATGGAAACTAAGCATATTCAATAGTTTACATAATTATTAGGTTTTTGAGAGAATACATTTTTGAAATCAGATAAAAATGTATAGATGATATAAAATCACATTAGATCTACCTCTTCCTGAAAGTTTAATAATACAAAAGTGAAAAAAGATATACTTATTATGTATCAAAAATGACATGTGTATCAGATATATAAAGATCAAGCACGTTAATGCATGACTTTACGATTTAGTAAGTTGTTTCTTTGTGATTGGTAATACGAAATCAGAATCAAGTGCGCATTTAAAATAATATTGTCTTTTATTCTGTATCACTATCATCATTTAAAAGAGATCCATTTGATCCGAGAAAAAAATAGATGAATTTAGTTAACATCGCGAAGCATCTTCTTTATCTAACGGAAAGAGAGTTTTCCGATGAAGGTTCAGGAACAAGTGCTGATGAAATTGCTGCATCAGAGGAATTATTCGAAGTTTTAAAGTCATTTACAGACAGTCACTTTAGTGAACTCGATGTGTAACAAACTCTCCCATGAAATAAAGTCACAAGCAATGATAATCTATTTATTATTATAGGAAATTGACGGCTTTTTTTCTCACTTTTGTATTATTAAACTTTCAGGAAGAGGTAGATCTAATGTGATTTTATATCATCTATACATTTTTATCTGATTTCAAAAATGTATTCTCTCAAAAACCTAATAATTATGTAAACTATTGAATGTGCTTAGTTTCCATGATATTATGTTCACATACCAAAACTGAATATCTTAAAAATCGATTATCTCAGTCCAGGCTCGCTATGGGGACGTAATATTTTAAATTTGTTAGTTTAGCAGTGAGAGTATTAATTTGACCCGAACAAGCCCACTCAACTCGATTAACAATTCAGACGGTTCCATTGTTAGTAAAATTCATCGAGGATGGAACCTGAATATTAGTGCTTGTGACTCACTAGCTATCGAAGTTAAGATTAAGATTCCTATTCCAGTAGGTATTGTCGGCAAACTTAAACAAGCTACTAAAATAAGTAAATATACTTCAAATTTGATAAAATTAACAAAAAGAGACATGACAATATTGATATATTAAAAAGTCTGAGAGAACGTTTCCCGAATAGGAAACAAGCACTCAAAAAAATAGTGACTCACAATGGAAATCACACGTTGGCTACAGTTGAAATATTATAGGTACTTATAAAATATGGTTTAGAATTTCGAACAGATAGTTTCAAAGCATTGGTCGACACTAATTGAAGACTATATAAAGAAGGATTTTAAAATTGATTTAACTGGTATAGTTGAGTGTATTTATCACGACAAAAATGTTACAGAAGAGGATATCTTTGAGAGAAAGATCTTCATTTAATTGTTCGTATTTTCACACTATAAATTGTTCTTGTGATAAAGATAAAGAGGTGAGAATAGATATGCCATATTTTGTTCCACGGATGGCAGAGAAACTGACAAATAAATTAGTCGGATTGACTAGCAGGAAAGTGTAGTTATATAAGAATATTTTTATTCTATATCTATTTATGGTTTACTCTGTATAAGAGCACATAAATTGATATGTGATTAAATGAAAAACAAATGATTAATTAAATGAAAAGGTTTATAAGCCTCTGAATTTGTCTGTTGCATTGATTAGTTCGTGAATAATTCCAATTTCTTTCGATGAATGTCCAGCATCATCAACCCAATGTAATTCCGATTTTGGCCATACTTTATGCAAATCCCAAGCTGAACGAGCTGGACAAACCATGTCATATCGACCTTGAACAATGATACCAGGTATATCTTTTATTTTATCGGCATTTTTTAATAACTGATCATCTTCATTCATAAATGCTCCATGTACAAAATAATGTGCTTCAATTTTGGACACGGTAATGATAGATTTGGCATCATCTGCTACATTAGCTAAACTGGAAGGATCAACATATAAATTTGATATTGATGATTCCCATAGACGCCATGCAATAGCAAATTTTAATATATCCTTTTCATCATTATTGGTTAAACGACGATGATATGCTGACATTAAATCGCCTTGTTCACATTTTGGTATTGGTTCTAAAAACTTTTCCCAGGTATCAGGAAATATCATTGAAGCACCTTCATGATAAGACCACAATAATTCTTTCCGACGACAACAATATATTCCACGCAATATTAATGCTTTAACATAGTCAGAATATGTTTCAGCATAAGCTAAAGCTAATGCTGATCCCCAACTACCACCGAATAAAACCCATTTATCAATATTTAAATGTTTACGTAATTTCTCTAAATCCTCGACTAAATCCCATGTTGTATTTTCTTCTAAACAACCATTGGGTATTGAATTACCAGCACCACGTTGATGGTATAATATGATTCTATATGCTTGTGGATCAAAAAAACGTCGATCCCTTGACTTCGTATAACTACCTGGTCCCCCATGTATAAATACAATTGGTTTACCAGAAGGATTTCCAACTTCTTCGTAATATAAGATATGAATTTCAGATACTTTCAACATACCAATTTTATACGGTTCAATTTCTGGATATAATTCTCGAAATGTTCTTTTGTCTCTTCCACTAAAAGTTTCTAACGACATTCTTAGTCTTGTTATCAATTATTATTGAATAGAAATTGAATTTATTTATCGAAGATTTTATTTCACCCTAATAGTAGAATAAAAATATCAGTCAATTATATATCTATAATGATTGTTTATGTACATCAACATTCATAAGAATTTGCATCGATTAAAAGTGCGGACTTAATTATTTCATAGGTTAGGAACATGCTTATTAGTCACACTTAATCGTATTAAAAATCAGTAGCCTTTGATTTCACATAAATATCATTAGAGTTTTAAGTAGTTGATGGCTATTTTATACTATGTAGTAGATTCGGGACGATTTCACGTATCGAATAAGTCTAATATGGAAATTAAACATAATATTTCTTACAGTAACATTGAAATGCATCTGAATAAAATGACACATGAGAAAGTTTGAATGTGTGACTATAGATATACTTTCTATCTTCTTTGCATATAAACGCGTCAAAATAGGTCTATTTTCGCTTTAAGATGAACCTAATTATCTACTTTGTATGCTCAGCGCGTTAAAACAAGTTGAAATCGAAAAAACCATATTTATAATATATCATCTCTGTCTACACAAGAAGTAAGCGAGTTATACGGTGTTATCATCTTCCATTTTCACATTCAATGCATCAATGAAAATTGAAAGAATGTTTTATCGTTTTTCTGTCTATGTATAGAACAGTTAAGAACATTTCAAGTAGAAGAAAGGAACAAACTTGATCGTTTTCTTCGCGATGGCATCTTTTACAGAAAACACAATAATTAGTTGGATTAAGTTGATCGTGACATCTTCCTTTATATTTCCACGATAAGTTCTTTACTGTTTCATAAATAATTATCATACCATTTTTTTCTTGGCTATATTCTTATTCTAACATATCCAAGTAGATACTTTCTCTTCGAAAAGTTGTTACTGCAATCTTTGCGGGATTAAAGTGTGAAACACGATGAAGCAGACAATTTAGCATTTTCTTACAATCTGTGTTGGTCCTTTGTTAACACAGCTATTAAAATGTTTGATAGTCTGTTGCTAAGGCGTCTGTGAAAGTATGGAACGTTTCCATCGTAATGTCTCTCACAATCTGTGATGCTCTTTTGGTCCTGTTTGTCACGGTCTTTGACGTTGCTTAGATGTCTATTACGTCTATTGGGGAAGTTCAAACTTCTACATCCTATATTTCAATACTTCTTTTAGATTGTGTTTCACAAAATAAAGCTAAACTTATTGTTCATATTATATATGATAAGGATCAAAGCCATTGATCAATCCATAAAACACGAATAGAAAATGATCGAAAATAAAAAAACTTATCAGCGCAGCCCCTTTGGGACTAAAATGTTAAGCTCAAATATTTACAAGTCTACAATTGTTTGCGATGTTTGTTTGTTCTGTTTCATTATTACGGATATTAATTATATTATTTATTATAATTTATTATCATAAAAAAGCAAATAATATAAATAATCTAATGCATATAAAATGGACAATCGGAGACAGCCAAACAAACATAGAAAACAATTTCTATTTCGTGCCTGTCGGTAATGAAGAGCAACTGTCTGTAATGGCGACATTGCTGTAAGAAAAAAGCCGAAAAACTTCACATTAAAACTTACACTCCCTATTTTTCTTCGTCAAATATCTGAGTTCCACAAAGTAAACCGAGTGATGGATCAGGATGAAGTTTCGTTTCACTGAAATATAATCATCGAAATGTGTCTGTATAATTAGCAACAAACGTTAAAGACTATCGAAAATAAAATGACTAAATAATGTCAAGTTATTATCTAAAATATAAACGATAAACAAATTTAAATAATCATCTTTAATAAAAAAAAATAATTAAAAAGAAAACAATTTTAAGTAAGAAAAGGAGTAGCCACGCTCAAACTTAAAGTTAAAATTTATTCATTGAAATTGTATGGAATTATTTAAATTAACTCAACTCATTAATAAAAAACACAAATAATAATCTAGATAAAAACAATTAAGCATATTCATATTCTAAAATGATGAAGAAGAAAGAAATAATATTATAGTTAAATGAAAAGCAAAACAAATAAATAAGTGAAAGAAAAAATATACTGACAGTTGGTTAACGTGATTAACCAGTAAAATATGCGATATATTGGATTTCACGAGAGGGTGCTACTCTACTTTTTTATTTCATCATTAGTATCGAAGTATTGTTTATTCCGCTTCCTACACTTAACATAGAGTGATATCATTCTCAAACGTAGAAAATGATGCCAAAACGAAAAAAAGTTAAATTGGCATATTTATACTTCATTCCTAAACCACACGTATATGTTAAACAACTTCAAATTTCAGTGAATAAAAACAGCGTTGAACGGTCGACATTTCGCTGTAAAATGTTGTTTTCCATGTGTGAGAAGACCAATAATTGGATTCATCTAATTTTTATGTATTTCTTCTAGATTAATAATTGAATTCCAATGAGAACTAACAGGTGGACTAAGATCACTTGTATGTATGCACAAATAGAGTCGTTGGAGTTCAACTAAAAATATTTTCTCAGTAATTTTTCCCGAAATATTGGATCGATAAATTGCGGATCATGATGTGAAAATGAGAACAATTTCAGTTGACGCACTTATGGTACAGTCAATTTCCCTAATAACGACAGGAAAATTTTGTCTTGCCTTATTTCATTTGGTTCTCAGCTATTGTACATCCAATTAAAAATGTTTTTATATTTGGAGAATCCTTGGAGTCTTCCCTTTCCAATGATATAGAGGTTACCTTTTACTAACTTGTTATCGTCGAGAAATTAGCGGTCTACGCTGAAGGAGTCCAAACGTCGTTATTAGGGTTCGATTCCCTAATAATGACGCCCAGCAAAATTATTGAGACCCTAACAACGACGCTTCAGCAAAATTACAACGAAAAATTACTTTTAAAGAAAAAAATACTTTTTTCACGTTTTCTGTGGCAAATCGAGAAAGGGTCTCTGAGACAATTTTGTAGAGCAGATTGAACTCTACTATAATCTAGCGGTTAACGAAAAACTAATCTTGTTTTAGGAGAACGTAAAATGTAATGCAAAAAATATCAAAAATCGATTTTTAAAAAATGACCTTAATAACGACGGCCAGCTAATTTTTTTCCCTAATTACGACGCATTCACTAAAAGTTGTGTATAGTTGTACACAACACCAAAATTTATATTTGTTTTATTTAACCAATGAATTTTGACCAATTTTTACAACTTTATTTTATATTTCATGATAAGTCCATTTTTTCATGTCTGTGGTCCCCCTCAGGTATTTGAAAAAAATTTTTTGTTTTTGTTTCATTTGTGAGATTGATAAATCGATAGATCTCAATGTGCTGATCACGAATGTTGCCTTTTTTCTCATGGCTCATCGGATAATAAGAAAAATTTTGACTACAGAATAAAGGTCCGAAAATCAGGTTTTGACCTATAAGACTATTAATATTCCTCTAAAATTCCTTGTAAATATGCTCATTCGATGCAGAATTTTTTCTCTATTGGAATATATAAACAGCTTTTGATCACAAAGGTTTTTTATAATCGATAACTAACGAATACCGACCTCAATGATCCTCTATGCTTAGAAACAGTGATTTTTTTCGCTATTTTTCTACTGTGAAATTTCAAGCTGAAAACATTTCTATTAGAAAGAGCTCATTGAATTATGTTAGTGATAAAAATTTCTCAATGACCTACTGGAGCAAACTATACTTTCTATGGGTCGAAAAATTGCATGTTAGTAAGCGTAGAGGGCCATTGGGGTCGGTATTCGTTAGTTATTGATTATAAAACACTTTTGTGCTCAAAAGCTTTTTATATATTCCAATAGAGAAAAAAATTCTGCATCGAATGAGCACATTTTAAAGGGATTTTAGAGGAATATTAATAGTCTTATAAGCCCAAAACCCGTTTTTAGGCCTGTCTTCTAGGGTCAATATTTTCCTTATTATCCGATGAGTCTTGAAAAACAATATGATATTCGTGATCAGCACATTGAGATCTATCGATTTATCAATCTCACAAATGAAACAAAAACAAAAAACATTTTTCAAATACCTGAGGGGGACCACAGACATGAAAAAATGGACTTATCATGAAATATAAAATAAAGTTATAAAAAGTGGTCAGAATTCATTGGTTAAATAAAAGAAATATAAATTTTGGTGTTGTGTACAACTATACACAACTTTTAGTGAATGCGTCGTAATTAGGGAAAAAAATTAGCTGGCCGTCGTTATTAAGGTCATTTTTTAAAAATCGATTTTTGATATTTTTTGCATTACATTTTACATTCTCCTAAAACAAGATTAGTTTTTCGTTAACCGCTAGATTATAGTAGAGTTCAATCTGCTCTACAAAATTGTCTAAGAGACCCTTTCTCGATTTGTCACAGAAAACGTGAAAAAAGTCTTTTTTTCTTTAAAAGTAATTTTTCGCTGTAATTTTGCTGGAGCGTCGTTGTTAGGGTCTCAATAATTTTGCTGGGCGTCATTATTAGGGAATCGAATCCTAATAACGACGTTTGGACCCCTTCATCGTAGACCGCTAATTTCTCGACGATAACAAGTTAGTAAAAGGTAACCTCTATATCATTGGAAAGGGAAGACTCCAAGGATTCTCCAAATATAAAAATATTTTTAATTGGATGTACAATAGCTGAGAACCAATGAAATAAGGCAAGACAAAATTTTCCTGTCGTTATTAGGGAAATTGACTGTATGTTTTCAATAACTCAGCTCTGGGTAAAGAAAGAAAGACGAAATTTTCACTGATAGTAGAACTAAATAATCTCTATTTATGGTAGAAAATTCATAGATTTTGCTTTTGTCACTGACGGGATATTGACGTTATAATGTAAAAAAAAATGCAATTCCAAAACGGTCGGATACACCAATATATGAATAAGCTACATATATGGAAGATACGTCGGTCGTTTGATAGAAAAAAAAAGAGAAAAATTGTGAACAAATGAGTGTTTTTTAAGAAAATTTTGCAAACTGGACGTTTAGGGGCAGGAGATCATTAAAAAATGGACATTTCGGGACAGGGAACAAGGAAAGAGAGGATCGAAAATGTCATTTTTTGCACAGATGTCTTTTATGGATGACTCATTTATCCATCGGTAATTTTGTTAATTTTTTTGTCGTTCATTTAGTTTTAATGTAAAATATTATACGCCTTTCAGGCAAATGAGTTAAAAGATGAAAAAACAAAATTGGAAAAGCAGCTGGCTTAACAACAAGAAAAAACTAGGACAAGCACAAATCCTCAAGAGCAAGCGGTTCATAGTGCGGCTGTCAAGCAGACTGTTGATGGCGTGCTGGCTACTGAAAAAGAATGGCGTGACAAGCGAGAACCTGATGAAAAAAACAAGCAAGTGTAAGGAATCAACTTCTTTTTTTTCCTTTCCACTATTATTCACTGTAATGATATCATCTGTCATTAAGAAGAATAAGACAGAGAGAGACAGAGAGAGAACGAAAGAATAGATGTAGTTGTATGCAGTAGTATCATGTAGTAAATGAGAAGATATACGAAGAAATATGAAAGTTCAGATATTGTTTCTGTGCTGCATTGTAGCAGTTATTCGATCAGTCATTTAATTCATCACGATGCTATCTGCACTTAAAATAAATGAAAAACAAAAACCAATGTATTTAAATAAATATCTTGGTAATTCAAGCTTTGATTTAAGAATATAAATATATTAATGAGTAAATAATAGATTGAAATCGACTAAATGGTAATAATAGATCATGATGAATAAAATCATGATAACTGACGAAAACTGATTAATGAATAATAACAGGTTAAAGTCCATTAAACTACCTATGTAAAAATAGACGAAGTAAATGTGATTTTCATCAGTTTTCTGTGATTAAAAATAAATAAAAACAGTACGATTTAAATCAGGTTCTAATTAGATTTTCAATTATCAAAAGTCGATTAAAATCGATTTCGGATCATTAAAAGTCTGATTACAAGTTGACTAAAATCATATCATTTGGATTGATTTTTTCTTACAAAAACTCGATTAAGATTATCTTCTTCGCTCTCCTTCATATGGGAAAGAGAAAAATAATGATATGATCATGGTCACATTTATTTTTTTTTTGTATAATTTATTTTTTCATTTTAGTTCAAATGCAGCAAAAAAATAATTATGAATTATCATCTAAACTTAAAAACTAAACTTAACTTTTACATTTTATACTCTTTTTTCATATTTACGCGTACATTTAATAATTATTCTTGAAATCCAATTAGATTTTCATCAAATTTTCTATCAAGTTTATTTGAAATTATTGTTCTTGTGAAAAATTGAATTTTTTTTTTAAATAAAATCACTCTGCGGGATTAGCTCTTCGAGTAAGATGAATATAAACACTTTTTGACTTTTTAATTCACAAAATTTCTCATAATCATGAATAAAGAAGTAATGAAATCGAAATGGTTATAATTAATTGTATCTCTTCCTTTTCATCAATTATATTTTGATTATAATTAAAAATTAAAAGCTTTTAGCGCAATCCCTTCGAATTAAAATGTGAAACACGATGACGCTATAGATTGTCACCTTGATCAAATTTTTAACTAAAAGAATCAGGGATATCTCGAAAAAGTGCATACACAGAGCTTCAAGTTCGTGTCTGAACTTACCGATTCCCAAGAAGAGTAACGACTGTCATTAGAAGGATCGCCGCACACATAAATGTGAAAAACAGGATACTGCTATTGTCTTTCTCGTTTATTGAGGTGTGGGTGTGGGTGTAAAAAAATTGTAAATACCACTGTATTGATATACGACTGTTTACATGTCTTTCATGAAGATACTGGCTGTTACGCATTGAAGAATTCTTTTATTTTATGGGAAAGTTTTAGAAGAGCTGCTTCTACATGAGAGGAATGAGACATCATCTTTTTGAATTGTGATGATTAGATTTTTTTTTCTATTGTCTTCATCACTCGGGTGTGGGTGGGTGTCGGTGTGGGGTATCTATTCACCCACGCCCACACCCACACCCATCCACATTCACACCCACACCCATCCACACCCACCCGCACCCACCCACCCGCACCCACCCACACCCACCCACATCCACCCACACCCACCCACCCACACCCACCCACACCCACACCCATCCACATTCACGCCCACTCCCACACCCACATCCACACCCACACCCACCCACACACCCACACCCACACCCACACCCTCATCGAAGAAATTCCACACATACTCGAATCATTTCGTTCATCATATTGGCTTGAACAACAACATTGCTATGTTGGATGTTATCAGAATGAATTCAAGACAAGTATAATTATCTATTCAATACCACGATTTCGAATACGTACACTTAAGTATTCTTCATCGGCATATCCACACATGACAATAGCATCAGCAGACATTGTACAAAAATTTTTCTATTCAAGTCAGATTGATTATTTCACTTGTGATATGAATCAATTCATTCCAGCAAATCATTCTCGTTTTAATTAAGTGAAATCCTTGACACTTACAGGTTCATCATTATTATCATTGGATATTCTTTCATCAATTGTTCTTCCTCAACAAATTCAATATCTTGATGTATCTGATATTCATCGCTTATCGCCTAATGAACTTGAAAATCTTCTTGCTCATACATTTCGTGTTCTTAGTTTATCAATGAAATTCGATCCATTATTTGTTATACCTTCCCAAATCCAATATCTGTTATTGAAAGGTCAGGGTTAATCGATTCCTATTGATCGACTCTATGCAACAATATCATCTGTGAAAAGATTGGAGATATCAATGGCATCAAAACATATGATTATTGATATTATTGAACAATTTCTTACTTTAGAAAATCTTGATATATTCTTTGATGATGGCGAACTTGATGATGATTATATGACTATTTATAAAGGCATCAAAAATAATTGGCTAATGGAACATACACATCGTCTCAAGTCACATCATTTCACTTGTCGACATTCGAAGGACTTTTTTCCATCAATGTACTTATCGTTTGGTGATTGACGAAAAGAAAATAACATTTAAGATCATACTGCTGTATAAAGTAGAGACATGTAATTTTTTTTCAGTATGTTCTTCGTATGTCTCAAACGTCAAAGAGAGATGAATAAGCAATTGCGTAGAGTTTCTTTTTCTGATTCTTGCATAATCAAGAGCAATATGAATTTCGAAATTACTATTCTTTCCTTTATAAAGGTGTCTCATTATTGATTCGCTAGTAACCTTTATTTTCTTGTTCTATAATTCAAAGACATTGCTGATGACGACAACTTCTACTGGTCGTGCTCGGTTCTTCGATCTTATGCATGAAACCGGAGATAAATTATCCTCATTTAAAAACTATCAACGGCTGGAAGAACCTTTACTTGAAGAGGCAATCATTCAAATCCAACAACATCGAGCATTCAACCTCAATGCTGATATTCAAAATAAAGTTTCTTTGGCTAAAGAAGAATGTTCAAAAGAAATGGATGTTAATAATCTGACTGTAGATGAAAGAGCAGCGATTCGGCTTTACACAATAGAATCAAAGATCGAAAAAGAAAGTCTTTTTTATATAGTGAACTCGACACTTCGTCTCCCAGATCGTAGTGAATTAAAACCGATCTTGCTCTATTTAAGACTTTTTATTGCAGCATTAGAAAAATTACCATCGTTCTATGGTCTGGTCTATCGTGGCGTAAATGGAAATATTTCAAGTAATTTTGTCAAAGGTAAAAAACTAACTTGGTGGGGTTTTAGTTCCTGTACACGATCATTGAAGGTGTTAAACAAAGACGAGTTTCTCGGAGAAAATGGTCAACGAACACTTTTCTACATTGAATGTATGAACGGTAAATTAATTGAAAATTATTCGTCTTCGTCATCGGACGATGAAGAGGTTCTTCTATTGCCTGGTACTGAGTTTTTGGTGACTGGTAAAAAACGAGCAAATCGTCTTTTGACTATTATTCATCTCAAAGAGATTCCAGTAAGCCGTCCTGCAGCAGATGAAATCAAGACTATATCCGTCAGTGTGAATGAAATGACATCACCGGAAGAAGTCGATTTTCGGGATGAAGCAAAAGAAAAGATATGTGGACATTATTGCAATCTATGGGCAACAAGACAATGTTGTAAATGTTCAGGTTTGTATTTATGACGACAAGATTTTTTTACAGTAAAAGTTCATCATTTCTCGCTCTTCAGATAGACGACCGTATCAATTTCATGGCTTTTATGAGAAATATGTTGATGGCATAGGTTTTGTACAAGAAGCTTTAAGAAATGAATATTATTGTCCAACTTGTAAATTAGACGAAGATCTCTCGTAATCCTTCATGCCTATCTTAGTATTCATCTTCTGGATCCATTGACAAAAAACGAATAAAATTGCAGAAGTGTCACAAGTTTATTTATTATTTCGTCAAATAAATAAATAGGTATCGTTAGTCTTTATCCCTACTAAATCCATATTTGAACACGATGAAGAAACTGTGAATCTCTGATAATAAAATAACAAGATGGTAAATGATCGATTAACCATTGAATAAGTTCATCTTTCTTTGATTGATCAGGATTTTCTCTTGATAAGAACTCTTCCATCGAATACTGATCATCTTCACATGTGACATGCAATGCTTGAAGGTTATTCATCTTGTTCAGAAGAAGAAAAATATTTTGACGAGTTTTGACTCGAATAAGAAGGCCTTTACATTGAATACCAAACGATGAATTACATAATCGAAGGCAGTCTTCTTCATTGTACCAAAAAACATGTAATGTAAGGTGACGAACTGATGGATTTCTATATTGAAATGATGGTTGGTCTTTTTGTTGAATCTGAAGATAATGAAGATGTTGTGCACGATCAAGTAAAGTTTACGATTGAGACTGAAAAGTGTCGCTATATGATGATATGTTAAGTGACGTCAATTTATCTAAACTTGGAACAACAGTCCAAAATTCATCCGGAATAGGAAATTGTATATAAAGATAAGAAATATTCTGTAAACAAATGTATGTTGGAATTGATTGATGAAAGAATGTGTCACGATAAATGCTTGACACGGTATTATAACACATCTTTTCATCATCGTCAGGATATGTTGATTTCCGCCAAGTTGGGAATTTTTTCTCGAAATAAGAATATAGTTTTGATAAAGTTTCGAGATGAATAGTTTGATCATCGATGAGACATCGAACAAACCATTTATGTTCTTCGATTCAAAATGAACTTTGAAATGAATTAATAAGTTCATTTGCTCTTTCTACCACATTTTCATTAAGAGATATTTCTGCTCGCATTTTTAATTCAAACACTTTCAAATTCGATAAATAATGACAGATTATTTTTTCCCATTGATAACCATCGATCAAACTGAATGTGAATTGAACATCTAAATGACGCAAATTAGGTAGATTTCGGAAGAAAGAAATTAATGTCGATATGTTATTAATAGGAGATATATAAATTGTCAGATCGATTAATGTCGAACAAAGAAATGGTTTATAATCACTGTTATCATTCGATTTAATACATATTGAAAGACGTTTGAGAGCAGACGTATGTTCGAACAATTGATATAGTTCATTTCATTTCAGTATAAAGCCGGATATAGATAGAGGGTGTGGGTGTGGGTGTGGGTGTGGGTGGGTGTGGGTGTGGGTGTAGGTGGGTGTGAGGGTGTGGGCGTGGGGTGGGTGTGGGTGTGGGTGTGGGGTGGGTGTGGGTGTGGGTGTGGGGTGGATGTGGGTGTGGGTAAAACGAAGACTCTGATACCCACACCCACACCACCCACCCACACTCACACCCGACACCCACACACCCACACCTACCCACCCACATCCCCCACCCCACACCCACCACCGCACACACCCACCACCGCACACACCCACCTACACCCAATACCCATACCTCACACCCACAAGTATGGCTAAATGGTGGATCGATAACAATTGTTGATATAAGACGATCTTTTTAATAATTTTATTTTATTTCTAATTTACCTAATCTGAACCAGTTACTCGTTCAAATTCTAAAAAATGAGAAGAAATGAAGTACACTTAATTTTTGAATGGTTTTCTATCTGGATTAGCAAAATGAAGTGTTCGAGGCATAATACATTCAACAGTAAGACATTATCGATTTCGACCAGGTTATAGCACGATCATGACATGACATCTAGTCTTTTAAAGTTTCATTTTGGAGTGGGTCTGGGTGGTCGAACAAAGGATTACAATCATATTCACTCACACCCCACACTCATATCCATACCCACATCCGACACCCCACTCACTGTTGCTACTTGAATCTATGTAGATATTAAATAAATATTTATACATACCAATTTTACGTGGAAAAACATCGTTTGTATGAAGAGAATTTTCATGTTTATGTGTCAATGTACGAAATAGAATACTAGTCATATTTTTATTTTGAAGGTGTATTTACTAATACGAGTTGTTTGAGGTCTTTTTTACAATTATGATAAAGTATTTAGTGTACAAGTATGAATTAATGATCATATTTGGTGAGCAAAATTTCTTTCATTTTATTAATTTTTCTTTGAAATATAATATTTCTACAACTATTCAATGTTCTTTTTTATGTGGATGAAAAGATATTATTTTATGAGCTAATAAATCACGAATTTGATGTAAAACTTTGACTTCATCACTTAATTCTTTTGCAACAGCATATTCAACACCCACTTTTTTTTTGGCTGCTATTTTATGTAATTTGTTAATTAATTTTACAATTAAAAATAATATCAATGCTACAATAAATAAATAAATAATTTGTTGAATAAATTTTCCATAACGTATAGCAACCGGTGGTTGATTTGGATAAACAAAATTCGGAATTTCAGCTACTAAATTAGCAAAATCTACACCACCTATAAGTAGACCAAATGGAGGAGTAATGATATCATCAACAAGTGATTTAACGACATTTGAAAAAGCTGTACCAACAACAATACCAATCGCTAAATCGAACATATTGCCTCGTAAGGCAAATCTATTCAAAACGAGAAAATTATAGAAAATGAAAAGGAGAAGTGTTATGCATACGCTTTGAATTCTTTGCAAAAGTTCATACAGCAACCACAACAATCTGGCATTGTGATCTAAAATATAGATTTCGGTACATTTATTGAGATCTTATATATTCTGCAACTTTTTTGTTAAAAAGTCCTTTACATTAAGATTTTCAGATATTGAATCTTTCGAAATTTCATACACATGTCACTGTTTCTTCCACATGCACTGAGTGTTCTTCATAAATATGGTTAAAAAATTACATTTTCACTGTGAGGAAGATGATCGCAATACAATGGGTGCAGACTAATAATCGACATGTACGTAATGGTGCATCTCGGAGAGGGTTGGACAACGTTTCAATCAGAGTCAAAAACGTTAATTTTAAGCGGAACTTTGCCGTTCAGGCCAAAAATGCTTCTCTTAGTGACGTCACACAAGACGACACAATAAGAAAAAATCATTCCTCCTATGAGAAAAGTGTAAGATACCTGGAAAGCTATATAGATTCTATTGCAGCAGAAAAATGAAAATGCATGGGAATAATGAAGATCTGTATAAGAAAAGTGAAATGAAAAAATTATTTCTTCTATGCAAAAGTGTTAGACGCGTGAATAGGTGTATAGATTCTACTGCAGCGAAAAAATGAAAATGCATAGGAATAATGAAAATTTCTATAGGAAAAATGGAATGAAAAAATGATATTTTGTGTGGAGAAAATAGTCTGATAGTTCAACAGCTATATAAATACTATCTGACCGGAAAAATAAAAATTTGTAGGAATAGTGAGTACCGCTAGGAGAAAAATGAAAGCAAGAAATGAAGAAATGATTTAATGTATTAGATAAATTGTTAAATACTTCAATACATAGATAGATAGATGTTGGGCGGAAAAATGGAAGGTGATAGGAATAATGGTTACTCGTGTCAGACGGACAAAATGAAATAGAAGAGAGAATATTTCACGAGAAAGCAAGAACTCTTGGGAAAACTGCACAGCTGAATAGGAAAATGATGTAGATAGGTTCATTAGCCTCGTGTCATTCAAGAATATTGCGTTCAGTTGTACTTGTGCGAACGAAATATAGTGCTATTATAGTATATATAATATTATTGTAGCGGAAAAATGAAAATAAGAGAAATTATGCTCAGTGCTATAAGAAAATTTTTTCGAAGAAACGAATTTTTGCTGTATCTTCAGAGATATATGGTTTTATTGTCGATTAGTCGAAGTGAATATGGAATGGTTATAGTATCGAGTAGATTGTCAACGTAATGATGGAAATTAGATGATCAACGATATGACATAAATTTTAGTGTCTATGAGGTGGTTGTTTTCGCAAGCATTCCTTTTGTGAATGGTAATCATAGAAGAATCAGATGCGAATGAAATATGGATGCATACGCGTATATGTATGTGACAATCGTCCTATGTGAACAGAATGGAAAAAAAATTCATTTTTGACGTGGAAGGCATTTTTCCGCTGGAAATTAGCATTTATCTCACCAATCGATTCGTTGTCCATTGCTGATCTTGGACGAGACAATGTCAATACAGAATTATTATTCCCACGACTTAACATTTATATTTATGAACAGTAAGGAAAAGTCGACATTTCTGCCTAACTAGACTCGAATTTGACTATTACTAAAACAATTAAAGAAGATAAAACTTACTAAAATTCAGAATACAAATCTTTTCTGAACAATCGAAATCAAACTATTCAATTTCAATCAAATAAATGTTTATATTCACTTGTTTCAATAGTTAATATTCTATAATAATGAACAGTATACTATTTTTTCTTTCTCTATATATTTTTTATCGATAATATTTTCTCGCAATCCTTTTTAATCCATAGCAACACCAACAGAGTTATTTCTTATTGAGTCGATCAGTGTAAAAGAAAAAAGTCCTCATCAGAAACGAGAAATAATACTAACACAGTGAACATAATTACTCATGAACGTATTCAATTCTTTTTCTTGATACTCTTTCTCTAATACTGATCATATGGACTCAGGATCAAAAAATGACATGACAATAATTACGACAATTAACAATTAAGCTAACAGCAATGTCAACTACAACTACGTCCAAGGGCTCAACGACACAAATATTATGTCAGACAATTATTCTTCGATAGTTATTTGCTTTGACAATGACTTTGTATTTAATTGCATTATTTGAGCTTTTATTTTGAACATTTTAAAATATAAATGCAGTAAAACTAAAGAATAAATAATAAAACTTTTTATTTGTATCCCTTGTGAATTATTTGAAGAAGAAGTTCGATTCGAATTAGATGAGAATTTTGATTTAAAATACGATAAATTATTAATTGAATTGGTAAGTTTACAAAAAAATGTCTATAATATCAATCGAGTATTAGGATACTATGAACTCTGATATATTTTTATCTACTATCCGTTTAATAGAGTAGGATTCTGCAAGCAGATTGGGCACATGGCATCTTACCTAAACATATATGGGACTTCGGCATTTCAATATATGTTTACCTTTTTCAAATTATTATTTTATGTAAAAGCGTAGAAATGAGAACTGGTTACATCATGATTGAACAATTTCTTGTATTTGAGAATAGGTCATAGAAGTAGAAAGTGAGATATTCTTAATAAAAAGAATTTGTTTTAATGAAAATTTATCTGCAAATGATGAGGAAACATATGAGAAAGTTATTTGAATAAATACAGAAGAAGATAAATTATTAAAAAGGGTGACCGGACAATTCGTTGCAAGGACAATTCGTTGCATGGACAATTCATTGCAAGACAATTCGTTGTAGGACAATTCGTCGCCGGACAATTCGTTGCAATGATATAATCCAATTATAATTTATTATTATTTTTTTCATAAATGAATTGATCTATTAAGATAAGTAAGAACCACATAATTCAATGAATATGAAAATTGTAGAGACTGTTTTTAATGACTAAACTTTGATTTTTAATCCCGAACAATACGACAATTGTCTTACACACATAAAAAGTTATTTTAATTATGTCAGCAGTAAGTCTTCTTATAGAAGCAAAAGTGGTGCCTCATCTTTCTTTCAATCCCTACCGTAGCTCACGATTTACGATTCATGGGGCAATACGTTGAGAAAACAAGTGAAACTTAGTGTTCACTAACAAAGATTGGCTTTAACATAAACAATTGAAACTTTCGATCAAATCGTTTTATTAAATATCTTTATTTAGCGTACAAATTGTGTTAGTCTAAAGACTATCAGCTCTTATTTTAAATGTTTAAAATTAAACTAGTTTGAATCAATCGATGATTTATGCAGTTCTAACACTAATTTTAATGATTTCTCATGTTTGAGGTTGTGTTCATCTTATCAGTGTTAATTATGAAGCAGAAAATAGATCTGATTTTTTCATCAAGCAAGAATTTCTTATGACGATACAAACCGAATTAAAAATTCAAAGTAATCAATAAAAATAGTCTCCACAATTATCATATTCGTTGAATTATGTGTTTCTTACTTATCTTAATAGATCAATTCATTTATGAAAAAAATAATAATAAGTTATAATTGGATTATATTATTGCAACGAATTGTCCTGCAACGAATTGTTCTAGCACCATTAAAAAGGTGAACATGTATTATCGTAATGAAAAAAGTATTCATGTATGTATTCACAATTATAGCGTTTAGCCCAAACATTGCGTACCATTCTAGCGAGTGTGAATGGATGTTCACTGAGAAATCCATCCACAATCATAAGATCGCTCCGCTATGAACATCTCTCATTTCTAATCAATTTCCTAGAAAAATAATAAACTCCCAACATTAATGGCAGAAAAGAAACTTAGAGCAATCTATTAGTCAAATCTGAATTTGAACAACAATATGAAGAGCAGTTTAGAAATTGTTTTCTTTAATTTACAAACATACATTTTAGCATGTTTTGGAACTGTTGATATATGCATAATGATGATTTATTTTGGAAATGAATTACAGTTTTAAATAAAAACCATTGATACTAAAAGAAGTGAGAAGTACTTTCTTCACTCGTGACAGTAAATTTTCCATATAATAATTGAAGTTTTCTATTAGAAATTTAGTATTCATTAGCATCTAATTACCTTTAATTTCAGAATGTTTTCTCTATTACTTTATTTTTAGCTTCATCATACAAAACCTGGTCTAGTTGGTCATACGTATTCAGATTTACAAAATATTTTTAACGAAGATCAACAACAACAAAACATATCGGATGGACAAAATACATCATTACAGTTAACTACTGAACAAATAGAACAACGAAAAAAAAATTATGAAGAAAAAGTGAAACAATTAATTGAACGAGAGAAGATTCCTACTAATCTTCTAAAAGAGCTCATTGAACTTACAAAAAAAGTTATTGAAGATTATAAGAATGGCACTTTTCTTAATGATGAAAATGAATCCAAAAACAGTGATGAAAATACATCTAGACAAAATGATGAAGGTAAACAAGTCTATTTAATGAACTAATAAATTTCGGATGGATGAAGATTTTTCGTTCGTCTCTTAATGAGACAAAGAAAATGGTAACAGAGTTTTGTAGAACGAACTAAAAGATATCATATGAATAGAAAATAGTTGCAATTGTATAAAGATCATGAAAAGTTTTGATTAGTTTGTTAACTATGACTGAATATTTTACATTTTGTTTTAGTAAAAACAAAAATATTCTCGTAAAGAAATATTAAGGTCTACATAGAATTCGATGGAGTTCTACAAGAAGATGAATAACGAAAAATAGATATTATGCTAAATTTTCAAGAAATTTTAGTTGATCAACTATTATTAGATATTTCAAGATGCAGTGTTACTTTCTTTACTACTAGATACATGGAAATTTGATTAGGCTTTCTACTTCTTCTAAGGTCTCTATTGGAAACAAGGCGGAATTTTTCTTAAATACAGAGATTGAAATTTTTGAATGTGGAAAATTATTCACAAAATTTTTAAATAATCAGTTTTCTAATATTTAGACTTTTGTCTATAGACAGACATTAAATATATATATTCATATTTATGGAACACCTTTTACTTTCGATTTTTAGAAAACATATAATTATTTAGATTAAAAGAAGGGTGTGGGTGTGGGTGTGGATTTGAATGGGTGTTGGCGTATGTGTGGTTGACGAGAAGGCTCACGCGTCCCCACGAATACTCACCCACATCCAAAATAGCATATTTAATACAGTTTGTGATGCTCTTCATAACGGTGTATTATGCGTCGGAATTTGTTGAACATTAGTAGAAACAATTGTCTGTCTACAGCCTTTTGGTCAAAGGGACCTGGAGTGATTCCTAAAACAGTAGTTTTTGGCTTTTTTCTGTATATCAATGCAACGAAATATGACACACCGTGAAGAGGACAATTTGTTCTTTCGAATGATGTATCATGAAGAAAATTTTATATTTAGATGTGTGTGTAGAAATCCCGAAGAAAAAGTGGTTGGATAACTTTGACGCATGAAATATTCGATATATTTTTTTTTTGTTTTAATAAAAGATGAATAATACGAAGTTCTAATCTAAGACTAACCGCAAAGATACTAAACAAAATGGTCTATAACATGGTAAAAGCAGCAGGTCTCTAATAACTTTTGTCTCTGAAATATAAAATAAACAAACTTTTTTTGTTAGGTGATTGGATAATTTTCACGGCCACTGTATATATATCTATAAAAGTTCCACATGATTTGAACGAACAGGCAACGATTAAACATAAATATACTGAGAATAGATATGTATTGATCTGATTCCACCTCTTTCCGCGAGATATGATAGGGGACACGAGATAATTCACAGCTCTCTAACTCTGACAGTCTTCATTAACATAATAACATGTTTTTTGTAAAATTTCAATATTGTCACAATTTATCGTCTCTACTCGAATACTGTACTCTTTGATTGCATCAGAAATATATTTTTTTGTACAGTGAAAATTATATACTGTGATGTTCAACCTGATTAATAATGCATTTTCCCGTATATTTTTAATGCTTGAAGAAAAATAATATTGTGTCATGGCGTCATCTGATTACTCCTAGTAAAATCGCATTCCTGTCTAAACGATACAAGATTGATAGTTTCGGCTTGCGTAGTTTTATAGAAGATACTTGGGATCTGCTAACTAATTTATAAACAAAAATATTCAATTTAAGTTATAAAAATCTGATATCTATATGTCTTATTGACAAGTTGAATCTAGTAAAGAATTGTTGCCCGAAGGCTGGTCTTTCGAATGGTGAAAACCACAGGTCTCTCTCCTGTTCCTATCAAAAGTTTTTCAAAAAATGGTAACTTGTCTTTTATTTTGAATCGAGCAATAGTAAAAAGAACTCGATTAACAAAAAAATAAATTTTCCAAACGAAAGCTCTGTATTCGATGTTGATAAGGAATAAAAATGTTCATGTGATAACTGTCAGATGTTGATAAGAAGAGTTGAGTCAATGAGACGACTTTAAAATGGTATATTGAGATTGAAGAATTTTCCACAAATATAACAAAAATCGAGAAAATCAAAAATTTTAATGAACTAAAAGAGACCTCAGATTATGAAGAAATGAAAAATACTTTTGTAACGAACCTCTTTTGAGTCGACTGTTGTTACTATAGAAAAAGAATTAGTATATATTAATGTAAAGAAAAAGATTACTCTGTCTTATTGCATTATCATCAATCTAGATATCTTCTTGTCCATTTGTTGGTTCCATATTGAATTTTCAGACAAAAAGATTCAAATAATAAGCTTAATTGAGCAAAAACAGATTTCATTCATTGTTTGTAACAAAAATTCCTATATACGGGTAACTACGTGTTTAATTTTCATTAAACTTTGCTCATTTCATACAAAGTAGAAAAACAACATTTTGTTTGATATGGAAGAAGAAAAAAAACAAGAAGGTTGCAGAAACAGTTAGAATCTTAAGAAAGAAACTTGCATACATCTTGACGACATTGATTAGACTTTATTCAAATTGAACGTCAATCATGAACTTATTTATTATCCTAAATAGGCTTTCACATGATATAGTAACAATTGATGATATTAGATTTTATGGGATAATTCTAATTCAAGATATTCTTTTTCTAAAATGAAATGAAATTAACAACTCTTTAACATAATCATGATTTTTATATAATTTTCGATAAGCAAACATTGTGAGATAAATCAATATGTATTATTTGAAAATTCGTTGTTGTATGATCCTATTAATCATCATATCTCGAATAACAAAAAGAAAATTCAAAATATCTAACATAAAAATAAAGTTAACGTAGACAACATAAACAAACATGAGAAAAGTACATTTTCTTCTAATAATTAGAAGCAATAGAAACATAGTAGACATTAAAGTTTCCTTTGTTACTCAGTTGCTATCCTTATAAATATAGACTGTATGTTAAATAATCAACAACAAGAAAATAAATACTTACCACAATATTTTGTAGCATGATTAAGGTTACAAAAAACTCCATATTAAGCAGGTTTTTTATCTAATATTTTCCAGAAATTTGTAGAAAAAAGTACAAAATGATCGTTAATTTAAAATGAGAATACTTCTTCGAATAGCATGAGGAAGAGTGGCTAACTTGTGAGCGGCTGTATGAGAGTATTATGGCGTCAGCAAGAATGAACGTCGTACAAGGAAGAGTTTCTATTATTGTAAGAGTAAAGATGTGTATTCAGAGCAGAACCACATCTATACTATAACCTTCAAGATAGTTTATTCTCTATTAATTAGAAAATTTTGGGTAGATTATGATAGTCGCATCGTTCTTGATCATGATTAGGTATTGTTTAAAAATCATATTGAATCAATCAAGACAATAAATTGAAGTTCTTGATGACGATGGATCATGTGAAAAAAAACAGAAGACATCATTTTATGATCATCAACAATTTCGAACTTTGTAGCGACAATTGAAATTTAACGAAATATGTTTCCATCTACCATTCTATGATAATACATATGAGCTTACTGATAGAATAGTCAACAACATTTCGTCTTTAGAGTTTAACCAGTATAGAAGGTACTATTACGATTTCAACGTGTATTCAACTGATTGTCATGCAATATAAATAAAAATTCTAGACTTCACTTAACAGTTTTCATTGACAAAACGTTCTCCAAGTTTTTCTTTACTTGAAGTTATAATATTGGTGGAAAAATAATCAGCAGTCCCAGCTATTTTAAACTTTTTTTGATCATTCTACACGCAATCACTGTGTAGCCAAGGTGTATTTAAGGATTTTCAAAGCAGGAATGTAATTGTAATGAAGTTTAATTTCAATGATAAAGTTATAATAGATATTAATCAACGCACGTGGATAGATCAGTAGAAAATGTTTAAAGAGAAAAATGATGCTCGCAGTGTACCGTAACCATGGAGTTTATGTGTCTAGTTACAGAATGTTAAAGCACCACCCACTCGAATATTATAATTTAAACATCTATTGATTTCATGCATGAATGTTCGTAACTTAAAACTTCCGTGAAAACCTTTCCTTGATTTGAATTACAGTCGATCGAGCGTCGTGATTCGTAATCCTGAATATTTTGCTAAGTTTTGCATCATAATGTATGAAGACACTAAGATAACATCTCCCAATTTTCAAGTTCCTCGTATAATTGTTAACGAAGTTCTGCTACATACTATGTATTCATGCCATAGTTGCTTAAGCATAGTCGATGACAGTGATAAGTATTTAAGTAGAATCAGAATTCAGTAGTCTTTCCGAATATGCGATCAACATATTTTTCACAATTTCGATTGATTCGTTATTATTTAAACTCTTACTTTCAAAATCTGTTTCAAGCAAAAATTATACTATTTGATTGCCATAATTCGAGAATCAATATAAAAAAAAAAACCTTAGTCAGCGTAGTTTCTGATCAGGCTTACATCTCATACTTACCAACTATCACTGTTAAGCTCATGAAACAGATTTGAGTTCTGATGGAAAAAAAATTCTAAGTTCATTTGTTATTTTGAAAACATTGCATGTTTTTTCATGTGAAATTGAACTATTTACAAAAGAGTGTTTATCTTTTTATGTAGAATCATACGCTTTGAACATTGAAGAGTGTTGAAACAAATTCAAAAAAAGTCAAAAACGTTTTGTATCTAGACGTTTTACACTCGTTATTATACCACAGATCATAGTTGGATTATTAGTTAAGAATGCATCGTCTCTGGAAACGTTACCCTTTTTCATCCAACAAGTACCATCATTCCAATTTGTCCATGTATAATGAGTACATTGCTGGGTTTGAGAACATTTCCCACGGCAAAGTTCCGATGAAATTTCGACATGAGACAGATCATTCCCATGGAAATCACAGGACATAGCCCAATTCGTTTCATTCCATTGGATGGTGAAATTCGTTACGCCTTGCTGGGTATTATTTACAATACCACAGATCATGGTTTTGTCATTAGTTGCGTGTGCATCATCTTTGGATACATTACC